TCAAGCGTAGCCATAACTGCAACATTGACATTAGGTCCTATAGTGTGCAATATTCAATACATTGGGACTAATATTGCAGTTTCATATGAACAAGTTAATGGACAGCGATTTAATTCAAACCTTATAAGTAAACCTGATAATATTAATGGAAATGATTTATACATTTTATCTTGTAATTTTCAATGGAATTTAGTGAGAGAATTCAAAATAATTCATTTATTGATAATTTTTTTACGATAAGATAACCCTGTACATTGAATTAGAAACATAACATTTGCATTGTTATTCAAACTGTATTTCTATTTTGAAATACTTTGGTAATAACAAGATAAGCATGTGCCCGTTCGGTCTCGCTTTATGCGTTGCTATGCAACAAAGTACCTCTTATACAATGTACGACATGGATTTAGGACCGCGTCGTACGACATGGATATGACGTCTTTGTGAAACGGTCGTAAAGGAGGTCGGAAGAGGGTCGTAAACAAGGTCGTATGGGCTACGACCTCCTAAATTTAGGAGGCTTTTGTGAAACGCGGGCCAGATTTTTAGAAAGCTTGTTGACCGGTAAGTGAACCATTTGCAGGTACGATGTATAACACTGACGTACAACGAAAGTGGGATTATATTCCAAAAACAACGTAAATATTTTGAAAAGAATTTTGAATCACGTATTGAGTGATATGCTGTGATGTGTTACAAGCTCACAGCATTAGGGACGGAGGGTAACCTAGTGGTTAAAGCGTTCGCTCGTCACGTCGGAGACCCGGGTTCGATTCCCCACATGGGTACAATGTGTGAAACCCATTTCTGGTGTCTTCCGCCGTGATATTGCTAAAAGCTTATAAAAAACACCAACTCACTCGCTCACTCACTCGAAGCACCTGGTGTGTACTTTCTTTTGAACGTCAGTGTAGATTTGATCAATTGAAAGGGGCGTTAAACCCATAACGCTCGCTGGTAGTATGTAAAATGTAAATCTATTTTCGGCATGATCTTGATCTGCTTCCAGTGTGCGAAGAGCCGTTGGCCCGCTTGTCCGTGGCTAGTAAAAATCCAGTCGGGCTAGTAAATCTCCACAGTCATTGGCCCGACTTGCTATTGAATGTTCATGGGGTCGTTTTTTAAATATATCACTCTTTCCGACGTGTTACCTTATAATACACTTTTAAATCATGCAAGATTATGGCCTGATAAATGATGATATTTTACCTTTTTGTAACATTTTACATTGTTTCTACATTTAAATTTCGGGCTAGTGAATTATTGTGTGAGCTAGTAACTTTCAGGCTTAGCTAGCCCGACTGGCTAGTAAAATGTGGAAACTAGTTCCCACACTGTCTGCTTCATTAATCGTACAATATTCGCTTTGTTATTTGCAGGTTTTGTTACCGACATTTTGTGCACAAAACGTGAGAAATTGGATAGTATCAAACCCACTGATTCCCTGACATTACCACCAACAGAGACGTATTTAGTCGGTTTCAGAGACCTTCGCTGTTGAGGTTGGGAGTCCAATTGCGTAAAACGATGCTCATGGTGTTGATCACTGGATTATAGGGTCCAGGCTCGATTATTTACACACCGCTGCCACAGAGCTGTAATATTGCTGCATGAGAGCGGCGTTAAAGAACAAGCAAACCAACTGTTTTAGATTTCTTGTTCTTGATGCAGTGATGTGACAGGCAGATTCGATATTATTGGTATCGGCACACTTCAAAGCTTAACGCTAGTAAACCCAATATTCAGGTTAACAATGGCAACCCTGGAGGTATTAAAAATCTGGATGTTGTGCTTGCTCGATGTTAAAACTTTTGAAATGACAATGAAGATAAGTTTATTTGTTCTTTGTTTCACGCCGCGTTCAGCAATATTCCAGCTATATGGCGCCGATCTGTAAATAATCGACCCTGGACAAGACAACCTGTATAACCCTGGGCATATATTAGTTAAACAGAAACAGGTGTGTACCAGTAGATTCTAAAAGACAATGTTCATTGAATTCTAAAACAGAATGTTGCGACACAAAATGTGCAACAGTGAATGATAGTGATGCCCAGTAGTATTCCCCAGGTGACACTTTGGACCAAGCCTTGAAACCTAACGCGAGAAAACAACTTTCGTCTGGTTGAAAAACAAACCGACTTCCTGAAGTTTCGTCACGTTTTGCCATTAATCGGTTAAACCGCCTGTCGATTACTCAGTTGGATGATGTCGCTGTAGTTGTCGTCGACCCCCAACGTGACGTAGGATGTCGTTGTGGCATGTCTGTACGGGCCTCATGGTGGTGTTTGTAATGGGCTTGTATAGTTTTCATTCTGTGTTCAGTCAAAAGGTTTTGCACATCACGTATTATTTCTCAATGACTTTTCGACCGCCTCCGTGGTGTAGTGGTTAGACCGTCCGCCCGGAGAGCGGAAGGTCGCGGGTTCGATCCCCGACCGCGTCATACCCATTCTCTTCCCACAGAGGTTACTTGTCATATCTTCCTACGAACCTCTGTTCTAATACGGCCATATTTCCCGGTTCTTGTAAACCCCCTAGCGGCAAAAAATCGCAACACGAATTACCCCCCTTCTTTCTATCCAATCAGAACACGTGTTATATCGATGCAAGTAAAAATGGGGCCTCAAATATCCCTCTTCTCTACCGGGGACTTGTGTTGATGTGACACACAAGACATTTAATGGCAAGCTTGTCAGTTGTCAACGGGGGCGATCCCATTGATCCACCATTGCATGACTGAGTTCTGTCTAGAAGTAACGTTTGCGTATCGCGCAGGGGAAGAGGTTCTAGTTTTTCCGAAGCATACGGAAATTACCGAGTCCTTGCGAATGATCACTTTTGAAACGTCTCTGATTGCACAACTAAATCTGATTGCAACCAATCACGAATTCTGAACATTCGCACCATGAAAGGGCCGTATTAGAACAGAGGTTCGTAGGAAGATATGACAAGTAACCTCTGTGGGAAGAGAATGCGTCATACCAAAAGACGTTAAAATATGGTACTTGTTGATCCCTGCCTCGCGCTCGGCATTAATGGGTACAACAAGGACTGGTCGGCTCTGAGTCAGCATAATGTGTGTGAGTGGGGTATTCATGCTTCACTGCGGCATGGTATCTCAGTGGGCTAGCACTATAAAACCAGCTTAAGTCTGGGCTAGTACAAGCAGCCGCACATACACATACACACGCATGCACGTCGTCATATGAGCGAAATATTCTCAAGCACGACGTAAAACCCAATTTCACCTCTAAATGACTTTTCACGAACGTTTTGTAAATTTGGATGCTAAAAATATACATCTCGCTATCTAACGCCATTTGGACGTTACTATTGTTGGCCTTATGACAAGGTAATTAATTGAATGTAAATGGGATCACTATGACGTGTCATCAATTTGGATTATTCGTTCTTCGAAATCTACTTGACCTTTTGCCATTTTTGTGGTGAATTATGTTTTGTATCTGAATCCGCGTAGGGGTTCTGAACCAGCTCATGTGTCTTAGCTCATTATACGTCATCATATCCCAATTGCATAGATCCATGCTCATGCTGTTGATCATTGGATTGTCTGGTCCAGCCTCGATTATTTACAGACCGCCGCCATACAGTTGGAATATTGCTGAGTGCTGCGTTAAACAAGAAACAAACCAACCAGTGTCATTAAAGACGTGCTCATCATATCAACCACTGGTTTTCCCGACCAGGATGAGGTTCAGGTCGTCTCGACATAGCTATGAAATTATCTTCGGGGAACTTTGAATGACGATTCCACCTTGAAATCAAAACGGTATGTGGAAATAAAATAACGGATCCCACCTGTTTTTGTTTTCGATATAGAACCCTCAGTCAAGTTCAGTTTCCATTCATGACAGAAAATACGTATGCATATGGAGGTGAGTGTTTAAGATATATGTAATAAGACAGAGATATGTAGTGTTGGGTTGGTTGTGGATCCAACACGCACATTGACACGTTTTACTAGTAAAACACAATTCTGAGGTTTTGGTTCAAAATGTAAAACCGCGGGCGTGGGGAATAACCCATATTGAACCAAAACCTTGGAAGAGTCTAAATATAGGAAATGCCATAAAGAATAATAAAGGATATATCAACAAGTAACCATATTGACAAAATCATCGGTAACACATCGGTATACCGTACAGTGAAATAATACAATAAAAATAATTCGAAGGCAGCATGCGAGGAAAAATATACCGCGTGCAACTTTCAGGCAACTGAAGCCATTGACATGTACGATTAAACACCTCTTCATCACCTGGAGGGACGGTGAGGGTATCCTAGTGGTTAAAGCATCCACTCATCATGCCGAAGACCGGGTTCGATTCCCCACATGGGTACAATGTATGAAGCCCATTTCGGGTGTCCCCCGCCGTGGTATTGCTGGAATATTGCTGAAAGCGGCGTAAAACTAAACTCACTCACTCATCTAGATTGAATGTGCCTCAGAGGGAAGATAGTTAGGTAAAGTAGGAAACTTTTGAGATTTAATTTGTCATGGGATTTTCAAAGACCCCAGACTTTGGTGTTTTCTTTTCGCACCTTTGTAGGTACAATCGATCGTGCTACCACGATTTCATACCACATATGTTATAGTTGAGATTGCACTTTCGCAGACAAGTACAGTTACTGGTACATTTTTGTGAGGTTGAATCCCGTCCGGCGTTCGAACCCACAGTGGGGCATCAAAACGCCATCACCCAAAGTCATCACCCAAAACCCGGGTTCGATTCCCCACATGGGTACAATGTGTGAAGCCCATTTCTGGTGTCCCCCGCCGTGATATTGCTGGAATATTGCTAAAAGCCGCGTAAAGCTATACTCACTCACTCACTCACAGCGTCATACGACTCTTGCTAAAACATAGTTGAGTCATAATACAAGACTCTAGACTGAACTCATTTGTCGCAAGTTCTGCCTCATCCGTAATATGACAAATATGTTAATTGTAGTAAACAACAAACGCGCTTTGATTGATGAATAAAAAAAGGTTTTACTGACAAAGCGCTAACTGTCAAAGACGATGAACAGTGGTATTTGATTGTTTGAAAGTTTATATGTGAAAAGTACTTGTAAATAAATCGCCTTAAATATGGCAATTGAAATAATGCTATTTATTATTTGAAATTTGGTGTGAATATTTTGCATTATTGGAACAATTGTTGCAGTCGTGCTGCATTATTTGAACAATTGGTACAGCCGTGCTGCATTATTGGAACAATTGTTGCAGTCGTGCTGCATTATTGGAAAAATTGGTGCAGTCGTGCTGCATTATTGGAACAATTGGTGCAGTCGTGCTGCATTATTGGAACAATTGGTGCAGTCGTGCTGCATTATTGGAACAATTGGTGCAGTCGTGCTGCATTATTGGAACAATTGGTACAGTCGTGCTGTATTATTTGGACAATTACTGCGGATCAAGATCAAAATGGGGACGTAGACTGAAGTTCCTGACGTAGATGTGAGCAGTTTGGGAACTTTATCCCCCAAACTCCCGTGGTGGATCCTCCCGTGTGGTGATAAGATGGGGATACTGGAGGAATGTCAGCTGAAACATAAATGATACTGGTGAGCAAGAGTGAGTGAGTGAGTGGGGCTTTACGCCGCTTTTAGCAATATTCCAGCAATATCACGGCGGGGGAAATGGGCTTCACGCATTGTACCCATGTGGGGAATCGAACCTGGGTCTTCGGCGTGACGAGCGAACGCTTTAACCACTAGGCTACCCCTCTGCCCCGTGAGCAAGAGTAAGTCGGTGAACAAGCATGTCAGCATTCTGATAGGGCAAGCTCTGGGATTCGAACCGACGAACAGCAGATCACACGTGTCGTGCCACCCAAGTCCCACAACATGAAACAGCTTGGCAAATTACATATTGTTACCCAATTTTCTCTAACGTGTAAAGTAATGTAACGTTTTGAAGTACAGTGATACATATTAACTAAATACAAATAATTATTATAAATTGAGTATTGTTATTTGAATAAAATACTCGGTATATTTTTTGCCTGAGATCATCCATATCAGGTTACAAGTGACATCAGAAAGAATGAAATATAAACATTTGCGGGGTGTTTAAACCGCAAAACCAGTGTTTGCCAGCAGATAAAAGGTTTCAAAATATGAAAAAATATATACATTGGTGCGTGCTTACAATAAAAACGTGAACATACTGAAACAAACCACACTCTTGTCGTAAGAGGCGACTAACGGGATCGGGTGGTCAGGCTCGCTGACTTGGTTGACGCATGTCATCGTATCCCTAGTGCGTAGATTGATGCTCATGCTGTTGATCACTGGATTGTCTTGTCCAGACAAGATTGTTTACAGAGGGGCGCCAATATCGCTGAGTGCGGCCGTACACAACATTGTATTCCAACTGCGTAGATCGATGCTTCTGATGGTGATCACTGGATTATCTGGTCCAGAACTGATTATTTACACACCGCCGCCGATAGCTGGAATATTGCTCAGTGCGGCGTAAAACAACAAAGAAACCAACCAACCAACTGTTTTATATTTCTTGATACAGCGATGTGACAGGCAGATTCGAAAATAACAATAACACTTGACCTATGTAAACAAAATACAACATACTATACAGATATTAGTTGTATTATAAAAATGTGAAACGAAAAAAGCCTGGTACCATACTCCAACACCTTGAAAGGGATAAGAAAACTTACTCCACACTTACCAAGATATATCAATTCTCCTTACGAAGTCTAACTATTTTTATTCCTGGGTTTCGTCTTGGTCTGAATGGAGAAATGGTGTGTTAACATCTTAGTCAGATTCAGTTATGATGAGTGAGTGAGTACGGTTTTAGGCTGCTTTTAGCAATATCCCAACAATACCACGGCGGGGGACACCAGAAGAAGACTTCACACATTGTATCCATGTGGGGAATCGAACCCGGGTCTTCGGCGTGACGAGCGGGCGCCTTAACAATTAGGCTACAGACCTATCTAATATAAAGAAGTCTGTCAAATCGGGGATAATCTACAGTCTTCTATTCTCCCTGGTCTAATATAAGGCAAACCTTCCGAATGAAGGTGTCTTGAAAATGTCTAAGCCTGTCCCTAATTCTAGAGACCGCCTCCGTGGTGTAGTGGTTAGAGCGTCCGCCCGGAGAGCGGAAGGTCGCGGGTTCGATCCCCGACTGCGTCATACCAGGTACTTGTTGGTCCCTGCCTGGCGATCGGCATTAATAAAGGACTGGTCGGCTCGGAGTCAGTATAATGTGTCTGAGTGGGGTATTCATGCTTAACTGCGGCATGGTATCTCAGTGGGCTAGCACTATACAACCAGCTTAAGTCTGGGCTAGTACAAGCAGCCGCACATACACATACACACGCATGCACGTCGTCATATGAGCGAAATATTCTCAAGCACGACGTTAAAACCAATTCCACCACCACCTAATTCTAGACTTACATGAATTTTATAGAAAATCATTTTGGCATCATAAGTGTATGACTGGAATGTGTTGGGCTGCACTTTAAGATGTACTGAATATTGAACTTATTTTAAAAAAGAATTACGAAAACATATTATTAGCAGTTTATATTATATTACCAGCAAAAATCTAATCAAACACTTCAGAATGAGACCCAGTTGCAGTTCTATGGTTTTATTGTTAATTATCCCAATTGTAGTTATGGTCAACATTGAGAATATATCATTCATTATCTGTTTCCAAAAAATATATCCACGGACATAGATTGACAAATCTGTCCACGCCTTGTCTACACTAACACAATGCATTGGAAGCATTAGACTACAACTTCATAAGGACATATTGTGTGTGCGCACGCACGCACGCGCGCGTCCCTATGTCTCACACAACATGTCGTGTGTGTGTGAGAGAGAGAGAAAGAGAGAGTAACATGGCCAAGGACATCAATGTCGAAGGGAAATGACAGGACTGATGGCGACGAATGAATGTGCGCATTATCATTGCGACAGGTATAAGTGTCTCGGAAAGAATGGCGATTTGCGCTGTCAAGTACCATCGATTCAACCTGTTTTGTCGTTTGTGTACACGATGCAATAAATCAGAAATCGTAAAGTTAGCTGTTCAAATTCTGAGCAGAAATTTTGGCTCAGAATTGAAAAACACCCACGATTTTCCGAGCTTCCGAAGATCCTAGCTTCCAAACTACGGCTTCGGTATTTGTGATCTATGTCTTATTTTGTAGGTAAATCTATTGCCTTGATATGAGTGAGCACTGTCAAATTCGTCCTGAAACGAACTTTGTGTGTTGACCTCGATAATATATACCTTGATGCCAGCTTTTGCATTACAAGCCCCTGTGTACGCTGGGCCATTTTTTCACACACTGGAACTGGCGCCGGGGGTAGGCTAGTGGTTAAAGTGTTCGCTCGTCACGCCGAAGACCCGGGTTCGATTCCCAACATAGGTCCAATGTGTAAAGCCCATTTCTGGTGTCCCCCGCCGTGATATTGCCGGAATATTGCTAAAACCGGCCAAAATCTAAAATCACTCACTCACTCATTCGCAGCCTGGAAATATCATTTTAGAAACGAAACGGTCGCGTGGTAAGAGCCTCATGTCAGATAAAATGCGAGAATACGAATATTTACTTACTTCAATAAGTCGCTAATGATAGACATCCACTGCTCATATGTTAGGTTTTCGGGATTCTGGACGTTAAGCAGAACATCGTTGATCATCACCATTGGAGTGGAATGTATGGCGCCTACAAAAAGAATATTTTATTGCAACAATTTAAAAATATGAAGGGTACGAATATCATTATTTATCATCCAAAACTGTGTTCCACAGGAGATATCGCTTGTGTGAGATCAAACGATATCTCCTAGGAGATATCGTTTTGACAGTAGACTTTGTACAATGCCCTGACAATGCTATGACGTCATGTACTTGATGACGTCACAATGCTATGACATCGCTGCACTGCAAGTCTAATGGCAGTACCATGTCCAGAGATGTACATTTTTCATTGAAAATTAATGAAGAGTGATTTTGGATGATAAATAGAATCTCACCCTCGTGTCTTCTGATATCAAATATATCAACACTCGTTGATAAAGTAAAAATATCCTCGGCAAGCCTCGGATATTTGTAACTTTATCAACTCGTGTTGATATAATTGATATCAGAAGACACTTGGGTGAGATTCTCTATATCTCATACATCGGCCAGTCTAAACTAACGTTATTCTCTGAATATATATATAACTTTGATAGAAACAGATAACTTCATTTAAACTGAAATGTGGCCTGGGAAATCTAGTCTGTTGCTTAACGCTGCACTCAGCAATATTCCAGTTATATGGCAGCAGCCTGTACATAATCCAGTCTCGACCAGACAATCCTGTGATCAACAGCATGAGCATCGATCTAGGATACGATGACATGTGTCAACCAGCTCAGCGAGCCTTAACACAAGATGACGTAAGTCTCCCCTTACGACAAGCATGTTTTACTGAACACCAAGTCTAACCGGGATATTCACGGGTTGCTAGAATAATGTGGTTCAGGGACTGTGAGACAGACTACCAATCAGTCGAGTGATTTAGGATACACTACCCAATGGCAAGATCACCATTGAAATTGTTTTTATTTACTGCGAGAGCTAATTTTATCTCAGGTGATGGAAAAAATAGCATACACTCAGACCTTGTAATCCCGATGTAAATACAGTTTCCGGGTTAAAGGTCAGAAATGACAAATTTCTGGATTGATGATTGGCGAAAAAAAGCAACAATTGGTTTTGGTATAAACGTTGCTGACAGAAAGGCCTGGAGAGTGAGGTGAGGATTAACTTGTACAGTTACTTTTACCAAGCATATCAAGGTCGTATAGTGGACAATATGAAGCTCACCATTTTCACGTTTTGGGCTTGGCCGCGTCAATATAATATTGCCATCCTGCTATCGTCCTGTACTTGTAATAATACATGGAACTGACGGACCGCGTCAATATAATATTGTTTCAGCAAATCCGACTAGTATTGCCTATTTTCATCCATTGTTATATGCTGGAAATAAACTGAAACCCACTATAATAACTATGAAATACCACTTTAGATAGTAACAATGGTTTTAAATAATAGGGGATGTCATTGGTTCTGATATTTGACCTCCGGGTGTAATTCATATGAAAAGCTATTTCTTATCACATGACGAAATTACTCATAAATAGCTTTAGACTAGTAATTGGAACAAACATTGATTAATTCAAACAAGTGGTTTTGAGCTATAGGTGTTCAAGTAAAATATCTACAATACAGGCATAATAAAGAAAATAACGTTAAGTTTTAAAAAATCATCCAAAGGCAAACATCATTTGAACATAACATATGTATTTTCCACTGGATAATAATAAATAGAGAATCTCACCCAAGTGTCTTCTGATATCAATTATATCAACACGAGTTGATAAAGTTACAAATATCCGAGGCTTGCCGAGGATATTTTTACTTTATCAACGAGTGTTGATATATTTGATATCAGAAGACACGAGGGTGAGATTCTATTTATCATCCAAAATCACTCTTCATTAATTTTCAATGAAAAATGTACATCTCTGGACATGGTACTGCCATTAGACTTGCAGTGCAGCGATGTCATAGCATTGTGACGTCATCAAGTACATGACGTCATAGCATTGTCAGGGCATTGTACAAAGTCTACTGTCAAAACGATATCTCCTAGGAGATATCGTTTGATCTCACACAAGCGATATCTCCTGTGGAACACAGTTTTGGATGATAAAGAATAGAAAACATGGTGTGTCGATTTCAGTGGGAGGTTTATTACAAATTACACGGAAAATCACAAAACAAAATTTTAAAATGTTCCAATTTTTCTGTTCTCATACCCGTAATATCTGTGGTTTTATCCTGGAGTATTTTTCACCAAAATCATTTTGAAATATTTATCATTCTTAAATTAAATTACACGTGTAAACGATTTCACGACAACAGCGAGCTGACAAGAACTATTAAAGCACACATCGCTGTTGCCACGTTCGTTTCTCGACATAGCTTAAATAAGATTTTCCTTCATTAAAAAGTAATAATGGCCATCATTCCCGTGATCTACACATTGCTACAATTTTGATGAAAATGCTAAGAAAAAAAGCTAAACCACTGTACTTGGATTTTTCTATAGTGAATACATGCACATGTCTGCCATGTTTATTTGGCTTGGCGGAGACCGCCATTGCACAGTCTTTGCCTGGGCCAGTGAAGCGCCAGCGCAGCAAACCCTGGAAACCAGTCCAGAGAACAAACACAACTGAAAGACTTCAGTGTATTGAAATTGTTTTCAACTACAAGTATCAAGGGAATTTCTTTTACTCTAAATTAACGTGGAAAGACAAGGCTAAATACGTGAACAGTGCCAACAAAGGTTACTCGTGTGCTTTACGTCAGTTCAAAGTTTATTCAACTCGCAGGGGCCTTTTCAAAACAATATTTATTCCTAGTATATTGACTTTTAATTTTCTGTGTTGGTACGGCAACCTGTCTGTTCAGGGAAACAATAAACTCAATAAAAACGTAAATACAGCCCGTTCTCTGGTTCTTTATACTTAATAACTCCCTTCGGTTTACAAATTGTTAAAAATGTGAGGAAAATGTCAAAAGACAGTTCACACTTTCTGTTCAGCGAAATTTTTGCTACCTGTGTATCTATAACAAACCAGTACCAGTGTTTTTTGACAATATGTAAATATTCTTTTTGAAAACAGTTCTGTCTCACCCTGTTAATATCTTCTATTTCTGGTCAACAATACCTGTTGAATTTTTAGTTGTATACTTTTCGCTGTATACTTGATTTTATCTTGTATGTTGTAGACAGGGGGGTATAGACGAAAAATGACGTCATCATCGAACACCTGGCTGACCTCATTTCACAGGGGTGTCAATGACCTTGTACCGAGCTGACCTTGGGATAAACCACTTTCACAGGGGTATTTTTAGACTCAAATGGGCAATATAAGGCCCCCGAACAGTCCCCCATGTCATTCAGACTTCAATGCGATGCTCATTGTACAATACTGTGTGTATTTGTGACTATTTGAGAATAAATCAATTTTGGTTGTCATTGGTTGATGTGGTGTATAAAGTCCTAACAAAAGGTAGGTGAAGGGAGAGCAGAGTGGCATGAGTGGAAGCGCACTGGGCTCATAACCCAAAGGACCGTGGATCGAAACCACGCTCTGCTAACAACATGTTTTTAGAATTAGGGCTAGCAGACATCTATATAAAGGACAGAAACAGATTTAGCTTCATTTAGCCGTGGACCCGTGATAGTGACACTTCATCTGAAACCTCTGTGTGAGAGTCAGTATTCATTCTGAACAAGATAATGAACAGACGATACTGGAGACCCTATTTGGACGATCCTAACAAATGGACCAAATATTACTATTTGCAGGCTAAAGGATATCCCAATCCCTTTACTAACGTGGATGATTATGTGATCTATTATGAGAAACAAGGGGTAAAGATAGACCTAACCCCTTCTACAGAAAAGTTTGCTCTCACGTCTCCAACCCAACAAGTCGTTCAACAGGCCAGAGCACGTCTTCAGATGCAGGAGAACGGGGAAACTGAAGCCAAAATAATGACTTCCTCCCAGAGTCGCACAAAGAAACGGAAGACGTGTTTTTAGATAAAAGCAGCTAGTAGACAGGTTCTTTGCCATTTAGACTCGGACCACCATGCAGTCAGCAACGTGTCCCGTGTGCTATCAGACGTTTTCCCACAGGAGGTGGGCCCTGAGACAATCATGGTGAAGGGGTGTATCAGTCTACATTCTTCCAAAGCACCCACATGTGGTTGCACTGGTTGCATCATAGGTGGTGGTGGTGCTCGTGGTGGTGGTGGTGGTGGTGGCGGTTGTGGAGGTGGTGGTGGTGGCTGCATTGCTCGTCTGTGTTGATTCCTGAGATGTCTAAGCATGGCATCCCTTCTGGAAAACGTCTGATAGCACACGGGACACGTTGCTGACTGCATGGTGGTCCGAGTCTAAATGGCAAAGAACCTGTCTACTAGCTGCTTTTATCTAAAAACACGTCTTCCGTTTCTTTGTGCGACTCTGGGAGGAAGTCATTATTTTGGCTTCAGTTTCCCCGTTCTCCTGCATCTGAAGACGTGCTCTGGCCTGTTGAACGACTTGTTGGGTTGGAGACGTGAGAGCAAACTTTTCTGTAGAAGGGGTTAGGTCTATCTTTACCCCTTTGTTTCTCATAATAGATCACATAATCATCCACGTTAGTAAAGGGATTGGGATATCCTTTAGCCTGCAAATAGTAATATTTGGTCCATTTGTTAGGATCGTCCAAATAGGGTCTCCAGTATCGTCTGTTCATTATCTTGTTCAGAATGAATACTGACTCTCACACAGAGGTTTCAGATGAAGTGTCACTATCACGGGTCCACGGCTAAATGAAGCTAAATCACCGTTTCTGTCCTTTATATAGATGTCTGCTAGCCCTAATTCTAAAAAACATGTTGTTAGCAGAGCGTGGTTTCGATCCACGGTCCTCTGGGTTATGAGCCCAGTGCGCTTCCACTGTGCCACTCTGCTCTCCCTTCACCTACCTTTTGTTAGGACTTTTATACACCACATCAACCAATGACAACCAAAATTGATTTATTCTCAAATAGTCACAAATACACACAGTATTGTACAATGAGCATCGCATTGAAGTCTGAATGACATGGGGGACTGTTCGGGGGCCTTATATTGCCCATTTGAGTCTAAAAATACCCCTGGGAAAGTGGTTTATCCCAAGGTCAGCTCGGTACAAGGTCATTGACACCCCTGTGAAATGAGGTCAGCCAGGTGTTCGATGATGACGTCATTTTTCGTCTATACCCCCCTGTCTACAACACTTGTAAAATTAATTTATTTCTAGTTTTTTGAACAGTTGTTTCTTACACTATCACCGTTTTTTATTTATTAGACGATCCCTTCTGAGTTTTTTACAATAAAACTATTTATTACCTACGAGGGCTAAAATATCGGGGTTCACATTTTTCATATGATGCCCTTGGGCAAAATATCACTTTGTCATGGTGAACAATGCTATGACGTCACGTTCATACACTCGTGCCTAAATATCGGTATATCAATATTTAGGCACTCGTGTCGTAAACATAGTATGACATGGGCACTCATATAATATCCTATATTGCTGTTACCTTTTCTCAACAATAATTTCTGTTACATGCTGAGCAAAATATTTACATATTTAGTGTAAGTCGTGTAGTGAATTTCATGTATTGTGTTATACGTTCAATTACGACGAAACCAATATTTCCCACTGGAAAAAGTCTGTATTATCTCATCTTATCTTGCCAACCAATCCTTACTTATCAACTATTGTTAATAAAACATTGGGTGTTCTTTAACTTCTTTTGAGCAGTGTATACACATGAAAAAAATAAACGCTACATCCCATATTCATTGTATCAACATGTTACCTTTAACCATAACAAATGGACTCAAAGCTCAGTTGAACTTATCATCTGGATACGTTGTCCCTCAATATATACTCTCCCAAAAAGGAAACGCATCATGAAAATAGCAATTTCATGTAGCAATGAATTAAAACGTGATTCATTTTACAAAAGGTTTTGCTCTGTTTATGAGTCCTATGGTGTTTATGTTTTGAAACATCACAACAAAACGCACCATCTGTAGAATACCCGTATTTAACAGCATGATTTTCAATTTCGGCGTGTAGTGTCACAGAATACACAATTCACATGCAATGCACGTGAAAGTTGGGGATCAGATAGTCTCAATGATGGGTATAAAAGGTTGATCGCTGTCTGTTGATTATTCACTGTATTTGGAATATTGTTGACGAACGCAAAATGAAACGTCCAAGTGAAGCCAACCGTCATATCGCCATTGGTTTGCTTGAAGCTGGCCAGTCTCAACGTGCAGTTGCCCGACGCATGAATGTTCGCCAAAGCACCATTTCACGGCTCTGGGAGAGATATCGCCGGCAGAATGCGGTAGCAGATGCCCCTCGTAGTGGGCGACCTCGAGCGACCACTGCGGCGCAGGATCGCTACATCCGGGTACATCACCTGCGTCATCGAACAGCTACGGTGACCAGTACCACTCGACAAATACCCGGATTGAGGAGGCTTTCTGCTCAGACCGTCAGGAACAGGTTGAGTGAGGCTGGTTTACGTGCCAGAAGACCTTATTTTGGCCCTGTGTATCGACAACAACATCGTCGACATCGAGTTCAATGGTGCACCAACGTTCAGGCCTGGAACCTACCGAAATGGCGTAGAATCTGGTTCAGTGATGAATCATGATTTCTATTGGAACGACGCGATGTAAGAATGCGGGTGTACAGACGTCGACGTGAACGTTTCGCCGACGCTTGCGTTCCCCAGGTGGACAGATTCGGCCGGGGCGGCGTTATCATGTGGGGAGCGATCACCTGCCGTAGGAGAAGTGATTTGGTGATGATCCAGGGCAACCTGACAGCTCAACGGTACTGTGACGAAATCCTACGCCCACACCTCCTTCCAATCATTGATCGCCAGAGGGAGTTGTTTCAACAGGACAATGTCAGGCCCCACACAGCACGTCACACTAGGGACTTCCTCCAGAACCACAACATCAATGTGCTCCCCTGGCCCTCAAGATCACTGGACTTAAACCCGATCGAACATCTGTGGGATGCCCTGGACAGACGGGTTCGACGCCGTAACCCTCAGCCCCAGACACTTCAGCAACTCGCACAGGCACTACAGGCAGAGTGGGCTGCGATTGGGCAACACGTGATTCTGAGACTTATTCGTTCGATGCCGAGACGATGCCGTGCAGTTCTGGATGCCCACGGTGGTCACACGAGGTATTGACTTCAGCGCCACCACACGTCTCCATGTGACACTCAAACTGACTTTCTTCGAGTTGGTGCCAAAGACGGATAAGTCTGCATTCCCAGTGTGCAATTTCGCTATATTTCATTGACTCATAAAGCCTACAAGATGTTTCAAAATAAACATGAAAATACATACAAATTCCTATATGCGTTTCTTTTTTGGGAGAGTATATAATTGAATAGCAAATCTAAACGTAAAGAACGAAAGGGAAGCATACATGGCGAAACATTGACTCATTTTGTAGTACTGATAACTATGGTCATATGACGTTAACAAGTGCAGTTATTTTTCAGATTCCGGCATACAATCATCAGGAAATGACATCAATGTCAGTTTCTGGTGTAACAACGCCCCCCGACCCTCCTCCTCTCTGACTGTATCACATGTTACATTTGACGTTGTGGTATTATTGATGGAGGGCTTGTTCCAGTACATCAAGATTTTGTACTGGTGGATCCCTCTGGTGTATTCTGCTCTATTGGATAAATATCTGGACACCTGTCGGTCCAAGGTCACGCTATGACCTAACATTGTCGTCTATGAAGACTGGGCCTTTGTTTAGAGGATGGTCATCGAAATGTGGTACAACAACCCTATCTCATCCTCGATAATCTCCAGGGTATACGTTACGATCACTCTTCACTATACCCTGGATGCATCCACGGCTTGGCCCGATGATTTTATTACCTCCCTTTGCTGGTTTTTTATCCAATCAGGTGTCTACGCTGGGAAGTTGAGCGAACCAATCACAACTCACTTTTGCTTCTTAAATTATCTAACCGTCTAAACTTGGCAACACAATTGATGCAGAGGTACTCTGAAAGAGGTAGAAGGAGTTCTTTCATACATTCTTTTAAAGTTTCAGATCTGTCAATTTGTCTGTATTATTTCCCAAAAAATCTGAGCGGCACTTACAACAAACCTTCGCGACTGCAACCGCTATTTTGTTGACACTGGCAAACTCGGATGTAACGGCGGCTTAGCTGATTGGCTACTGTGAGAATGCGGAGCCAGTAAAGGGAGGTAATATAATGAACGGGCCAAGCCGTGGATGCATCCAGGGTATAGTGGAAAGTGATCGTAACGTATACACTGGAGATTATCGACGATGCCCTATCGAGGATGTCGGTGATATTCCGTTGTCATTTCACATTGTGTCTGATCGTCACAATGTGACGTTAACAGTTATGTGAGAGTGACTTTTAAACCATCAGTGAACCCCCGCAACACATTACTTGCTCCAAGTTATTCCGTTGTGCATATGCAGTGTTTCTCCAGCGCCAAACACCAGCTTGGCCATCCGTCATAAACAAACGTTGGACCTGTGGACCCTTTCCCCATGACCTAAATGTCCGGTGACGTCGAGTTTTACACCAAGCTATGCGTTGTACCTCTATGGTCTGGGGATAACAACAGACGTCAGATATGCCGTCTGACTCTATACCCAGCCGATTTTATGCGATTTCGGATCGTTCTTTCAGACGAACGACGATTATGAGTGAGTTTGGTTTTACGCCGCACTCAACAATATTCCAGTCATATGGTGGCAGTCTGTAAGTAATCGAGTCTGGACCAAACAATCCAGTGATCAACAGCATAACATCGATCTGCACAACTGGGAACCGACAACATGTGTCCACCAAGTCAGCGAGCCCGAACCCGATCCCGTTAGTCGCCTCTTACTTTCAAGCATCTGGTCCAGACTCGATTATTTACAGACCGCCGCCATATAGCTGGAATATTGCTGAGTGCGGCGTAAAACTAAACTCACTCACATAGTTAAAGGCGTATTAGGACTAAGATCATTTTGTGCACACGGATCACTGTCGTATTATTACCATGCATACCCAGCGTCTATAGCGATATACCTGTGAAGTCATACTTACGTGAGCAGCCATATTTCCAGGCTAAACGGGCATCAAGCTCCAAGTCTTCATTCGTAGTCATGAGATTCTCGAAGTCATTTGTCTGGACTCCGAGCGCATGCGCCAAAGTGCTCAGGTCACTGCAAGAAAATGTCATTTTCTCAATGCAGTTTCACGCTACATCATTATCAAATTTAGATTTGTTTGTTGTTTAACGCAAAGCCATTGCATATTTAGATTCCTTTGTTGCTAAACGCAAAGTCAGTGTACGATCAGATTTGTTTGTTGCTTATATAATTAACACAAAGCCATTGGCATTGCATTTTTAGCTATGCATAATACCTAACGTCACGCCATTTTCAGAAATAGATTTTCATCAACAACATTCCAGTTATATCACTATGGCTTGTAAACGTTCGAGTCTGGACCAGAGAAACCATTCAGTAAAAGCATGAGCAACGAACAACGGCGTCGAGGCGCGATGACACACAAAATGTCAAGTCACTGAGACTGACAATTGGATCCTCGTAGTACGTTACCATGGCGACCATTTGATACTGGAGGTCCATTCTTCAAAGGAAGATTATCATGATGTATGCAGTATTTGCAACATTCGAGTCACGTACGCCTGAAAGAACATTGCACACTGTATCCATGTTAGCCTGTCTCACAGTCCTTGAACCATATTATTTGCCCTACAGCCTAGCCCTCCCTACAATGCTGAAGCTCCAAATGAAGCAAGTCTAGATTTCCTCAGGTTCGGGACGTTCTGATGTGATCTCACTGGGGCTCCTTTTCAATTTAAATGGGTTTATTTGTTACTATCAAAATGATATATATTCAGAGACTAAGAGTTAGTCTATATCCAAGTGGGAAATCGAACCCTTATTTCTGGTTTGAACTAATTATTTGACCAATCAACTTGTGAAGATCCGAGTTAGAACTGGTCTTCAGCAACCTATACTTGTCGCACAAGGCGACTGACGGGATTGGGTGGTCACATCATCGTATCCCAATTGCGTAGAACGATGCTCATACTGTTGATCACTGGATTATCTGGTCCAGACTCGATTATTTACAGGTATTTTCATATAGCTTTGACAATTATTGAATTGGGCGTTAAACAACAAAACAAACACACAATGTTATACGCTGACACTTTGTTTTAACTTATTTTGCAGACTGAGAGGGGCGGTGGGGTAGCCTAGTGGTTAAAGCGTTCGCTCGTCACGCCGAAGACCTGGGTTCGATTCCCCACATGGGTACAATGTGTGAAGCCCATTTCTGGTGTCCCCCGCCGTGATATTGCCGGAATATTGCTAAAAGGCGGCGTAAAACCATACTCACTCACTCGCAGACTGAGTATACTCCGTCTGGTATGCAGTGAGTGTACTGAATATTAACAAAGGTTTCTGTTTGGCGTTTTTCTTTGAAAAAACATATTTGCGCGAGTTCGTAAAAGGGTATTACACTCCTACAATATAAATAAGAAATGGCTGAACACAGAACAACCGTGTCATAAGCATGTGTTTATGAATCACAACCAAAACGAATTGACACCTGATGTTCGTGGTGGACTCATCTGTAAGGAATTGTGGGCGGTGGGGTAGCCTTATGGTTAAAGCGTTGGCTCGTTACGCCGAAGACCCGGGTTCGATTCCCCACATGGGCACAATGTGTGAAGTCCATATCTGGTGTCCCCCGCCGTGATGTTGCTGGAATATTGCTAAAGGCGGCGTAAAACTAAACTCAGTCAGTCAGTCAGTGTAAGGAATTGTACAAAAAACAACTTATTCAATGAAATTATACAAATTAAATATATCCTTATGTTATCAATTTGCAACAAGCTCGTTATGTAACCACTTATCAAAAACTACTTTACGTTTTCAAACACCTTATGCAAATTATTACAGTGTGCATCATGATAATTCATGTGCGCAATATAAAGTGTGACGTCATCCACGCTGATACAGTTTAGCCTAAATACAGGATGACATATGGGAACCTTTTACTATGAATGTCTACATGCTCACTCTGTGTGAAGCCAGTTTCTAGTGTTTCACGTGATATTGTTTAAAGCGATATAAACCACACCCTCTCACTAATATGAATTTAACAGAGCCCTAGAATATATGGAAGTTATCAATCGTGTTTACACGAAAGAGAAACTTGCATGTTTTGACTTATACTGACGAACATAAGAAAGTACACACCTGGTGTTTTGGGACTATTCCCCCCAAAAAACATAAATATTTTGCTAGCAATGTTGTAATTGTGTACAATATCTGTGGTGTTTTGGAAACACTTGCACAATGTTTGTGACAAGGCAGAATCAAAACACTGTTTAAATATTAATTCTGTTTTTAAGAAAATATTTTACCAAAGAATCAAGTGTGTACTTTCTTTTGAACGTCAGTTTATTTACAATATACAGGTAATGCCAACTGTTCTTAAAAAAGCTAATTTTAAAAGTTTTCATGGGGCAATTTTCGACTTTTTGAAATTTTTCAGAAGTAAAAAAATATCACGCCATGTATTATGCCATGTGTCATGCCATGTTCCCAAATAGACATACTGGTTATTATTTGGTTAACAATTTCTCTGAAATAATAAATCGGAATTTTATGGCATACAATACACAAAAGTAAACCGTGCATGTGACATATATTGAGTCAACACGTCGATGGGTAAATGAGACGAACATGACGCAACAGCTGGGCTTGTACTATATGCCATGTCTAATCGATTATCGCGTACTTTCGAGGTCACATATGCTGAAATGATATTCAGATTCAGGCTCAGAAACTCTGAAAACGTGAGACTATTCCGTTATTAATTTTGTCATAAAGAACGCTGACAGTAAATCAGTCCACCAGGTCTGGGAGACATAAGAGGGTCGTAATAAACATCGACTTTGTGTCTTTCAAGGTGTCATCCGTTGACTTTTTGTTTGTTGTTTAACGCCGCACTCAGCAATATTCCAGCTATATTGCAAATAATCGAGTCCAGACAATCCAGTGATCAACAACATGAGCATCGATCTACACAATTGTCTATAAACAGTGATTGATGGCCACATTATCGAGCATTCCACTAGCGCAAGCAAGACACATGTACATCAGTACATTGCTGCATCAAACCAGACACATCATGCATGTGTCTTTCAAGGTGTCATCTGTTGAAATGTTTGTTGTTTTGTTGGGTTGATTTTTAACGCCACACTCAGCAATTTATTCCAACTATATGGCCATTTCGATCTATGTAGTTGAGATACGATGGCATGTGTCAGCTAAGTCAGCGAGCCTGACCATACGATCAGCTTACGACAAGGATGGGTTTCTGAAGACCAATTCTAACCTGGATCTTCACTGGTCTTACCGTGTTTTTTGACGGTGTCATCTGTTAAATTTGGATCAAAGACATTCTTTACAAATTCCCCAAATAGGTGACTCTAGAGTTATTTGCATATACTACCAAAAATAATTAAAAGTGTTAAAATATCTTAAAACAAAAAAAGCTTTTGCCCCATATGATAATCCCAGCTATGAAAGTAATTAGATCAACAAACATGTTTTGAAGACACGCAGATGCCATATATGAGTCTTACCTCGAGACATAATCAAAATGTCTTACCTATATACATAATAAAAACGTGCGAAACTACACAACCTGTTCCTCTTTTCGGATATCCGTCAGTCGTCTGGGGATTCGCTGTGAAGAGTCGCGTCCCTTTGCACGTAAGATACCTATGATAGGTTTGAATCCCGGCTCGCCTTGATAATGTTTTTTTGGGTGTGTCAGCGTAGCACCGCCCTCGTGGGTTTCACCAAAGGGGTGATCGTCTACAACACGCGTCACTTCGAGCTCTCCTCCTCCCACTTTTAGCAATATTCCGGCAGGGGACACCAGAAATGGGCCTGACACATTGAACCTGTGTTGGGAATCGAACCCGGTTCTTCGGCGTGACGAGCGAACGCTCTAACCACTAGGCTACCCCACCGCCCTCAAAGCACAGTAATAACTGATGATTTAACACACCTGAGCACCCTTGCACCTGTCTCCCCGTGGGTGAAGCCGTTGGAGAACATACTCATCTGGTCAAAGACGTCGTGGATCCAGTCGAATGTCCGGCTCCCCCCCCTGTCAATTTGTCCACGGCGAACGCTCCCTGAAATGTATGTTCAAATAAGCGTTATTATAATTTCGAACCTTTCTTTACATTGTAACATTGTATTTTCAAGTAACATGGAAACTTCCGGGCTTTCTGATGAGAGAACAGTGTCAGTGAGTGAGTTTAGATTTACGCCGCACTCAGCAATATTCCAGCTATATGGCGGCGGTCTGTAAATAATCGATTCTGGACCAGATAATCCAGTGATCAACATCATGAGTATCGATCTGCGCAATTGGGAACTTATGACATGTGTCAACCAAGTCAGCGAGCCTGACCACCCGATCCCGTTAGTCGCCTCTTACGACAAGCATGGGTAACAGAAGGCTCATTCTAACCTGGACCTTCACGGGTGATGAGCGAACAGAAAAGGTGATTTTGTTAACCTGTTGTAACACTTGTCCTCGCGTTCATGTCTGTGGATTGTTTCGTAAATACACGTGTTATTATGTATACAGGTCTCTCAAAACCATGGTAAAATCAGTGATTTTTTGTAGCTCCGTCCTAATACTTGTCCTCGCGTTCATGTCTGTGGATTGTTTCGTAAATACACGTGTTATTTTGTATACAGGTCTCTCAAAACCATGGTAAAATCAGTGATTCTTTTAGCTCCGTCCTCGAACTCCCCTGTTCTTCCACATACACGCAGTCAACACTACTTCTGTGTTGTAAGTTGTATTCACCTTTTGGGGTTTATTTGTTGTTGAACGACGCACTCAACAATATTCCAGCTGTATGGCGGCGGTCTGTAAATAATGGAGTCTGGACCAGACAATCCTGTGACTGATATCATGAGCATCGATCTACACAATTGCCTTCAAACAGTGTTTGATGGAACATCACTGAACATTCCACCATGCGAATGCAAGCGTGTGCGCGTGTGTGTGCGTGGCCTTTCATCCAGAAGCTGTCCACACCTGTGAAACGTTGTGGCCGCCCTATACCCCGTCTATATCTAATCACCACTGTCTGATTACTGTGCCTCGGGTGGTTAGTTGGCCTAGTGGTTTAAGCGTTTGCCCGTCACTCCGAAGACCTGGGTTCGGTTTTCCTCACAGGAAAGCCCATCTCTGATGCCCCTAGACGTTATATTGCCGGAAAATATTATTGATAAAACCAAACGCACTCGCTGTTTACTGGACAAAGCTACTCAAAAGAACTTCCAATCTTGCAATGCCCAGCCCTCGAGTTGCCCCAAGTTCAAAACAACCATTCCAATTACCACTTTTGTTTGTCAGCTTTACAAGTTTATATAATTGTGTGCTATCGTTTAGTGCACACGACGCAAAAACGCTTGTGGAAACAAGCTGTTGAGAAATCTAACAAACAAGATCAACATGTTTTGATTTTCTTGACTAAATAACATCGACCGGGTTTCCCTGGCTGCACGGGAATAGTTTGCTGACGTGCTAAACACAACGGTCAAACACGACAACGTTAACTGACAGACGAGTTTTACCTGTGACCATGTTACGCTAAACATAGACTAACGTTTAGTCTATGAATATATATATTTTGATAGTAACAAACACACCCATTCATACTGAAAATGAACCCCAGGGAGACCAGAGTTTCAGAACCTGAGGAAATCTAGACTTACTTCATGCATTTAGGGCTTTAGAATTGCAGAGAGGGCTAGCTATAGGCAGTAGGAAAAAAAATATGGTTCAGGGATTGTGAGACTACGTTAAACACATTGCATGTCGAGACTCTGGTAGCTGGTAGCAAGCAGGCAATAGAGTAGTGAGTGAGTGTGGTTTTACGCCGTTTTTAGTATATTCCAGTAATATCACGGAAGGGGGCACCAGAAATGGGCTTCACTGATTGTACCCATGTAGAGAATCAAACCTTGGTCCTCCTCGTGCCAGGCAAACGCTTTATCCACTAGCCTACCTCACCACCTCAGACAATAGAGTAAACGTGGGTATATATCATGTGGGGTTGTGAAATGGATTATAGTTTGTGTTCTAATGTTCATTTCATTGACGACCCCATGAAGATCCGGGTTAGAATTGATCTTCAGTAACCAATGCTAGTCTCCCGTAAAGAACCCCGTTAAACTTGATCTTCAGCAACCTATGCTTGTCTCCCCCGTAAAGAATCCATGAGTATATTAAGTATCACGCATTTACTGCAGTTATCAAGTTCTTTCGTAGTCAACTTTAAGTAAAACATGTCCCTGAATTAAACATATGTGATTGCCATTTTCACTGAAAGGTTACAATTACTTCCCGTAATATTGTTCTCCTCTGTAACCGAGATTTCTCTATATCGTCTCTCGTTAAATTGAAATATGTGTATATCGCTTACCTTTCCAGCCATAAACGCGTTTCTGTGATACGGCAAAGGGAAGATGTGAACTCGCAGTTGGATCACTTTTGGTCCATAGTGATCAACCACTTGTCTGATGATTCCATAGGCCCGTTTACTGTCGGGGCAAAGAAGATCCAGAAAGGCGTCGACCTTCACAGGGGCATTTGCGTTTCCTCCGTTGTATACAAACCCTAACTCACGCTTTGGGATTCTGAGTTGACAAGATGATATTCCAAATAATAGAAGCCCTACGAACTGGCCGATCGGCTTCATAGCGACACGACGCACGGCTGCGACCAGGTGTTGTGGCGATATTGACAGGTAATGCTGGTGTAGTTGTGTCGGCGCTGGGGGTCTGGCGTCACGTGGCGGGAAAACATTGATCTGGGTAGAGATGTAGATAGTGTGTGAACACAGCAGCGTGTTTGGGGGTGTGGTGTGTCGTTTGCTGTAGGATGCCGTCTTTTTAGGTGTCTATTTTCGTGAACGCTTCTTGATAACGGTGTTAGCGGCTACACCGAAACGTCGCTCACATTGATAAAAATAGGGGGCGGTGGGGTAGCCTAGTGGTTAAAGCGTTCGCTCGTCATGCCGAAGGCCCGGGTTTGATCCCCACATGGGTACAATGTCAATCAATCTTTATTCCGGTACTGAAAAGGCTCCAGACCTATACTACACTATATACATTGCTTTATACACTTTCAAGGAACAATATGTTTTCTATGTACAAATGAGTAGAACATATACATGGACAGGTTTTCAATTTCTTTAGGATTTGAACTGTTTAGCAGTAGTGAAAACTTAAGCCTGTTTGGATGGACATAATATTTTTCTCTTATATATTTGCTTCGAAGATTACTGTAGTTAGGGCACACAAGAAGAAAATGATACTCATCTTCAGTTGCATTTGTATTACATAATTTACAAGTTCTATGTTCTCTATCCATATTTACATATCTACCTTTCTTGATAAGAAGTTCATGAGATGAGCATCGGAATCGTGTTAAACTTACTCGATACCTTTTTCATTTAAACATGATAGATAGAATTCGGTATGGATATTGTTTTTAAACATTAGGTAAGTGTCACATTTGCTTGAAATAGATAATTTTTCTTGCCAGTTTTGAAAATACATATCTTTTAGTCTTTGAGTAAATGATTTGATGAATTCCGGATATATTCCATTCTATTGGTTATGCCAAATATCTCCAAATCCAGTAGAAAATAATACTTGTTTTATCTCAGTCACCCAGTTTTTGTGTCCATTTCTATCATATAAAAGCATCATATTATAACATTTCTTTGGTGAGCGATAGGTTGGCATGTGTATTAACTTTATTCAATACCGAATTACCTTTCAATAAGAGTGTATATGTAAAGGAAACCTGCCACATTCTCCATAGATCATGATATTTGGAGCGTTTTGTTTAACACCAAAAAACTTTTTACAGGCATACAAAGGCATTTCCAAGTGTATTTAATCCCCAAATTTCTGCGCCATATAAAAGAATGGGATATATGTTTACATCAAATATTTTGAAAAATGAATTCATGCTGAGATCACCAAGAATATGTATTTGTCTTAGGATTCCAAAAAGTACTTTCTGTGCCTGCACTGATGCATAGTTGCGTGCAATGACCAGGGTAATTGATTAGTGAAATATACACCAATATTTGTAAGAATTTGTAGTTTCAAGTTTAAAATCTTATAATACCATATTTCATTTTTTCCTAGTTTTCTCCCATTTTTAAATACCACTACTTTGGTTTTATCCAAATTAACTGTCAGCTTTGACTGCTCACAAAAGTTTTCCAGTTCATATATTTGCCTTTGCAGGCCAATAATAGTACTTGATATCAATACAATGTCATCAGCAAAAAAGCAACAGAAATAGTTGGAAGTTATCAGGATGTAATTGTAGGCCGTGTGTACAAATATTCTCGATCTGCCTGGACAATTCATTTATGAAAATAGAAAATATGAAGGGACTCAATACACAGCCTTGTCTGACTCCTACTTGTATGACAGGTAATGCTGGTGTAGTTGTGTCGGCGCTGGGGGTCTGGAGTCACGTGGCAGGTTAGGTTAGCCTAGTGGTTAAGCGTTCGCTCGGGTTTGATTCCCCACATGGGTACAATGTATGAAGCCCATTTCTCGTGTCTCCCGTCGTGATATTGCTGGAATATTGCTAAAAGCAGCGTAAAACCAAACTCACTCACCCATTAATAAAAAAGAGTGAGTGAGTGTTACCTATGTGAAACCTGTTGTTCGTTAAAGAGGTCATATTTTGTTGCTGAATTTGATCAAAACACCTTTTGGGCTTTGGGCAGCAATTTGCACATGAATAAAATAAGTTTCTGTTTTTTGCAAGTATTGATTTTTTTTGTTTCAATTTGACATATATAAAGTACCTACGTAGACAAATGTTATTTCCATCTGTTCACCCATCAGTAAGATGGTACCCGGTAGGATGAGCGAGTGAGTTTTACGCCGAAGACCCGGGTTCGATTCCCCACATGGGTACAGTGTGTGAAGTCCATTTCTGGTGTCCCCGGCCGTGATATTGCTGGAATATTGCTAACAGACAATAAAAGCTAAAGCTCAGGACAGTGAACATTAATTTTACTCTAGACATATTTCCCGTAATCACTCGTACCTCGTGGGTTATTCTCTAATTATCCCAGCCAAAACCGACTGATGTCACACAAAGACTTAAGGGATTTAGAGTTATGCCCCTTTGATAAATCTATCATGTCTGCCAGTACCATGCGCGTAGAGCAACTACAAAATAACAGACTGCACCAACTACACGCGTGATGTAAGTATGAATGTGCTTTCACGTTTTCTTCAAGTTTGTGTTAGGTTGCACACAAAGCGAAATGTTTCTCTGTCATCTCGGTGTCACATGAAGTCTGTTTCAGAAATCGCCAATTTGATTATAGCTCTCCCTTTTCGATAATGATATAATTTATGGGAAATTATTACCGGATCGTCGTGGTATAAATGTGAACATAGTGTTGTCGATAAGATTGTAATTTCAATTGGCTCTGTTTGCTTTGCGGTTGGCCCTGTTACCATCAACCAAGTCATATACTGTGAGGGAACAGGTCAAAAGGGCCAAAGGACAAAAGGGCCAAAAACTGAAAAAGTCAAAAGGGCCAAAGAAAAGTTAAAAGGGCCAAGAGAAATTTAAAACAAAAACGAGGCAGACGATATTATACTTTGAAAATACAGCTAAACAGAAAGATCACCTCTGAAATTGTTTCCAAATTGTGTACATCGTTAATCTGAAACCAAAGAAAGTGAACACAATGTGTAATAAGCCGGTACCCAGACTGATAGCATTCAGATGTAGGCCCAACGTTGGCAATTATTTTACCAACATTGCCAACGTCCGAATGCTATCTGGGTAATAGTTCCGTCCGAGTCACAGTATTAAATATTGCTGTTTGGGACTTTGTCCAAAGATATCTACATTGGTATATATGGTATCTATCCAAAGGCACTTTAGAAATGTATCCAAGGTACTATCATGAGACATGTATTTGTCAGTTAGATATTCTTGTGCACTACAAGATATATGGCCCCGCCATTGCCTCCATGTTGGCAGCAGAGGCTACCAGTCAGTGTCTACAGATGGTTATCAGTTTCCCCTCAGATAAGACACACATGCACAAATATTACAGTTATAATATTGTGCCTACATGTTTATACAGTGTTCACGAATGCTGTTCCAAAGTAACAGGACATTAGGTCCTGTAAGTTTCAGATGTCTGTCTGACCCATTCAAAATTCACAGGACCCATAGAAATAAAATTAAACACACATTTCATGTTCAACATTTCTTATAATTGGCATTGAAATTTTTAACAAACGTAAGATTTATAAGGGCAAACAAGTGTCACATGTCACATATAACAACTTCAGTCAAAGTCATTGTGAAATATACAGTCTGACATTAGGGCCGGCGAGTTGCAGACTTCTATCAGACCGTTGGCAAATCTGCCGGATTTGTCAGAGGGTCAGACGCTTTTCGTGAACACTGGTTTATATGGCTATTGTTATTTTATTCAAATGTTTGATGTGAAAATCTATGATACAAAAGTCTGTATCAATCATTATACTCTGCAATGACGTCAAATGTTTTCACTCACCTCATTGGCTTGCTGAGCCTCACACAAGCCATGTGACTTTCTGACACCCAACTCACAATCTATCGCTTAAGTTTTTGACGGCACTGAAAGATTTTAAATACCATTTATATTATACCCCGACCTAAAAGATCAGGGTATATAGGATAACTTCATTTTGGCTTCTTTTTTACTTTTTATGATAGACTCATGGTGGAAGAGAAGTCTGCCACCATATTCCCCACGGTTGAAGTATCCAAGTACTTCACTTGATGGCCTCTGTTATTATTCTGGCCTTATTATTGTTACCAGTTTATCAGTATATGAGCTGTGTATCAAGGCAGTTACCCAAGCATGTTGAAGGTACATGAAATGTTGATTGTATAAAATTCCCAGGTTACAAATTTAAGTTCTCACTCTCCCTCCATACTTGTAACAGGTATTATTCTGAACCAAAACAGATGATTTGTGTATTTTGCCAGAACCGTTATTAAAACGTTGAAGGAAACCGTTCTTTTTTGTGTTTTCTTGTACAATTTCTTGTAAACATGATGAATGAACAGAATGTCTCTCATGTGTCCTGTGTCAAACCAAGGAAATGTTGTCCAAGTTGATGATTTCTCTCCAAGTATTGGCTGAAGGCTGAAGCTATGAATTGGTTCTCTTTCTCATACTTCGTTTCAGTCTCAGATTCTGAAGTATGTTTAAAGATGAAATGAAACTACTTTTCTTTATATATTCAAGGCTAAATATCAAGTACTTTTCCAGAAGAATAGTTGGAGCACTTTACTGATACTGGTACCATTGTTTTAGCTACTTCCGGTTGTTGTATATAGGAGTCTAACCCTAAGCCTGCTAACCCTAACCCTAACCTTAAGCGGATGATGTTCTCTGAAATGTCAGATTCTGATAAGCTTCCATTTATAAATCCTTTTTCAGGACCCGTGAAGGTCCGGGTAAGAATTGGTCATGCTTGTCTTATTTAGAGGCGACTAACGGGTGGTCAGGCTCGCTGACTTGGTTGACACATCGTGTAGAACGATGCTCAAGATTTTGATCATTGGATTGTCTGGTCCAGACTGAATTATTTACAAGACTGCCACCATATAGCTGTAATATTGCCGAGTGTGGCGTAAAACTAAAACTCACTCACTCGTTCAACATTGGTAATGTCCCACAACCATGAACATGGTGACAATACTATCTCACAAACACTTATAATTATATCACACATGATCAGCATTTACTAACTAACTAAGAATGTTATAAAGAGCTATTCAGTGTTAGATATAGAACATCAGTGCTAAAGAATACCCAGTCTTGACTATTCTCATTAACAAATTCCATGATTCTTCAGGTCTTGACTTTCAGTGATGTTACTCGAGACAAATGGCATAACGAAATTTACCTGACTTTATTAACTTTGAAATAAATATGGAACATTCTGAGTAACATTCAGTCAGTCTCCTAGAAAATGAACTGATCTGAAATCCTGGGCCTAGATTTTCGAAGCTCTCTTAGCGCTAAGATAGTCGTAAGTTAATGTTAATGTATGGCACTTACGACTATCTTAGCTAAGAGAGCTTCTTCAAACTCTAGGTTTTAAAGCGATAAGAGCAGTCGTAAGTCTGTCTATGTTAAAGTATGGGAGTTACGACTGTCGTAGCGCTACGATCGCTTTGAGGAACGGGGCCCTGGTCCTTTATGCAACGTAGTGTATGTTTACCTTGGCATACAAAACTAGGGGTCCATACTAAGCTAGGGTCCTTACACTATGTGGGGTTGTAAAGAAATGAAATAGTTAAGTGTACGGAACCATAAAATTTAGTAACTATTTAAAATTCAGGTACCTTCTGTTTCCTGTCAAGAATTAAGTACAAAGTATACTAGAGTGCATCCAACGGGATGTTGTATATTTGTTTCCTGCGTCTATTGTGTTTGTGAGTGCTGGATGCACATTTCTGTGTCTTGTAAAACCCTGGTATAATATTATCAGTTGTCATGACTATCTGTCCTTACCACTACCTTGAAAAGTGCAAGTGTAGGATGGATATCCCAGCTTCAGTATATATAAACATCACCACTAACAGGATTCTGGGTTTATATTTGCCAACAATATCAGAATCAGGACCTGGGCCCCGTTCCTCAAAGCGATTGTAACGCTACGACAGTCGTAAGTCTATGTTAAAGTATGGGAGTTACGATCATCGTAGCGCTACGATTGTTTTGAGGAACAGGACCCAGATGTTTGAGCCTGCTGATGATGTCAGTCATCGGTTTGTCTGGTCCAGGAATATTTACAGACAAGTGTCATACAACTTGAAGTTGAATGATAGTATGCATCCCAAGTGTGGCATTAAACCAAGAAATATTTATCTATTGACTCAAAGAAGTATTTTTTCATCTGATATCATGTACGGTATGTGATTATCATTTATCATTCCTTATCAGGGAATTAAGTCCACATTTACCGGTATGTAAAGTTTCAACACTTCAGGTGAGCCACAGAGCCTTACAGCTCTATCTTTCTTTTCAGGTATGTACCCTTGAAGCAGATGAAATCAGGGTACTCATCATCGTTCCCATGGTATCTCTAAGGGCAGCTCATTGACCTGTTCCGGTAACTTTAATTACTTGACTGTTGTTATGGAAACTGAAGGCCGGATTCTGAATGATGACCGTGATGATAGTACCACTGAACAGGAGACTCTAGGAACAGGTGTTAAGAAACCTAAATCATGTCAGAGCGGACTGAAGTGTGTGGAGTGTGGCAAAGAATTCTCAACACCGAGTAACTGCCGGAAACATATGAAAATTCACAGTGGAATCAAGTCTAATGTGTGTAGAGAGTGTGGGGAAATCATATTCAACTTCAAGCGACCTGAAGAGACACTTGATGACTCATAGTGGAGTGAAGCCTTACCAGTGCAGTGAGTGTGAGAAAGCATTTGGACAATCAAGTGACTTAAAGACACACCTGAGGTGCCACAGTGGAGTCAAACCTTATCAGTGTAAGGAATGTGGGAAAGCATTTGCCCAATCAGGTGGCCTGCAGACGCATCTTAGAAGTCACAGTGGAACCAAACCTTACCAGTGTGCTGAGTGTGGGAAAGCATTTACGCAGTCAAGTAATCTGAAGACACACATGAGAAGTCACAGTGACCTCAAGCCCTATGAGTGTACTGTGTGTGGCAAAGACTTCACAAGGTCTGGTAGTCTGCATTCACACTTGAAGTGTCACAGTGGACTCAAGCCTTATGAGTGTGGTATGTGTGGGAAAGCTTTCACACGATCAAATGATCTTCAGAGACACATGAGATATCATAGTGGCATCAAGCCATATCAGTGTGGTGAATGCGGAAAAGCTTTTACAGAATCGGGCCATCTGCAGATACACATGCGATGTCACAGTGGAGCCAGGCCTTATGAATGTACGGATTGTGGGAAGTCGTTCAGAACCTCAAGCCACCTGAACAACCATATGAAGTGCCACAGTTGACTCAAGTGAAAGAAGGAAGGCATTGCAACAATCTGATAATCTTCTTGAGGTGTCATAAGACGCCTACCTGATGTTCAGATACACATCATTGTAAACCAAAAGTCACTGTGTTCTTTAATCTGATTGGTTGAAAAACGTGATCAAATGGTATTTGATTCCCGGAAATTCTCTGCGTATTAATACATACAA